GATTGGATGGGTCTAAAAGCAGTTTGTGAGTAAAGAGGTCGTTGAGTAATTGGTGTATTACCCCGATTCTGTTCAGGGTCTGGTTTTGATTCCAGGTCACCTTGAACAACATTCTGACCTTTTTCTATTGCTGCTATTAGTTTCGCCTCACATTTTTTTAAATGTTCCTGGGATTTACAGTAGTCACCTTCTAAGAGCATATTTAGCTTTTGTAGATTTTGTTTATCCATTTTGCATTGTTCCAGTTCAGTTTTTGCAAGCTGCAACTGTTGTTGTAGCACATCGTTATCTGAACACGTGGCTTTGTACTGACGGTCTATTTCTTTAATCTTTTCATAAGATTTTTCTTCTAGTGACGCCTGCATTTTTGAGAGATTCCTCTCATGTGTTTCAGACATCCAGTCAAGGCGTTCCGACCGTTCATCCAATTCAGCTTTTAGAAGCAGGGAGATTTTTGCTAACCGTTCAAGGCTGAGCTTTTTACTCTCTGTATTTAATGTTCCTGCGGCCAAACTTTTCAGCTCTTCTTGTCTTTGAACTTCATCGAGTTGTTCTAATTGCTGTAATTGTGTACCAATCAGTGGAGTTGTTAAAATATGTAATGCCCCCAAAATGATGTCTCCATTTGTTGGTTTTAAAGAGGTGTCTTCTTCATTGTCGCTTGGCATTTTTCTTCTATTTAGAGTTTAAACAGGAGAATTTTAATGTTTTAGGTTTTTCAAAATAAATAAAATCAGCAAAGTCTCTTCGTCTGATATATTTACTTTTATTTAGTGATTTATTAATTAAACGTGCACTATCCTTTTAGCAAATGAGTAAACTTTTTCCAACTTTGTGAAAATCTGTAACTGTTTCTATTTTTTAAAAAGTTAATGTTTATTTTTGTACCTTATTTTTAAAGGATTTAACAGTGAAATAAACTTTTTGGTGAATGCTCGTTTGCATAAGTACCTTATAACTTTTAAAATGCAAGATAACAGTAATTTTCAGCTTTAAGGAACGTTTATTGACTCGAAAATGCTTTTAGAAAGATTAAAACGTTTTTAATTTCACTATTTAGACCTAATAAGCGAGTGAAACCTGTCTTCTCAAGGTTCGCCAGAAGATGTCAGCCTTACCTTACTAATTTTAACTCAGACACTGTTTGTGTTATCCACTAGGGGAGCTATAACTTCCTGTGGCGTTCGGTTGACATCCTGTTGTTAGCCGCTTAGCTTGAAGTTAGCTTCGGCTAAACTCGGTCAAAATCAACATTTCTGAACGGATTTTTTACACAAAAGTGGCACAATTTCAACAAACACGACTTTTTAGCCTGAACATGAGTTTTTGGAACAATATTTGTAGCTTCCTTTAGTGATTTTAAGCGTAGTTAAAGCTCCGGTCGTTAGCTTGTTAGCTTAAAATTAGCATCGCTAGCTTTGTTTAAAAACATCGTTTTTTGACGAATTTTAAACTGTAACGTGGCAGGATTTCAGCAAACAGGCTTCGAAGCATCTAACCAGTGTGTCAAAACCACTTTAAAAGCGTTTTTTAGCTTTAAAAAAGCAGATTTTATTTCCCTATGAAAATGAATTTCATATCCGGGTCACGTGACTGAAATCACCAATGGCACGCAGCGTAGGGTGAGAGGAAGTGACGTAGCCACGTCAGTCAAACCTTCAACCAATGAAAGCGCTCCACAACAGCGAATTCAACCAATCAGGAAGCGTTTTCTCTACCTAGCAAGTTAGATTAGCTTAAAATAGTTCGTCACTTTTTCGTCTTTTAAACCATCAAAATGCACTTTTTCTGTTAAAAAATGTAACGAAACAACTTCTAACTGTGTTCTGAGATGGCACTCAGCTTTTAAAACGTTTATCCATCTATTCAAAATACTCGTTCCAACTGAGCAGAACCGAACCACAGCCGGGTCTTAGCAGAACCTCGTACCTTAAACAGAATAACGTATTCCACAGCTCATCAGCCTTTAGTTACACGTAACAGACGTACAATTTCAGCTTACACAAGACTTATGACACAATTTCAGCTCTTAAAACATTGCCAGCGTAACACAGCGTAAAGTTGTAGAGCCGAGCTCCAAGCGCGCAGCTCAGCCGCTGCGTAACATTCACAGCTCATCAGCTGTTACTCTTTCACCATGCCAACACGTAAAATCAATTTACACACGGATTAAACAGTCATTCATGAACACGTTTACGGGCCACCAGTGTAGTGAGACACGTGAGGTACGTGTCACTTGTTGTATGACAAATATATGAATTATATATGCATACAATATTCACGAGTTCTTCATTTTTCTGACTGTAAATGCCGTGCATTGAATTTAACAGAAATGTGAACGAGAGACGTTATTTATCTTTGACCCATCAAATGAATGGAATCATTTATTTTCAAAATCAAAGTTTAACATCAAACATTTACATTAATTTGGCAAAATATGAAAATAATAACAGACAGTTTCACAGAAAATGAACTTCAAATCACTCGGCGGTGATTTGAGGACTTTGCTTCAGACATTTCTAAAAATATCTGTACTGTTTTATGAGAGAGAGGTGAGTTTTGGAGTGAAAGGAGATTATCTTACAGAGAACTGTGTGAGGGAAGTTTAATCTGTTTAACCAGAAATTGCACGCTTCGTCAGATCCTCAGCCCGTCCACGGTACACTTGAGTCGAAGAAGAAATCTTTACCTGGTTTGACGATAGATCAGCACAGTAAAAGTCCTTCAGACTGTTTCAGCGCCTCCGTTTAGAACAGCTAGAAATCCTCGGAGAGTCGTGCGTGGTTAGTTCAAACAGAAGTTATAATCCCAAACGTTCCTGGTTCTTCATAACTCCAAACTCTTCATAACTCTGAAGCTTTCAGCACCGACTGCATTCTCAATCTTGGAACTCTCACGTTCTCCAGAACTCTCAATCTAACTTGAACTGGGGAGTTGCCACATTTTATTTGGGTCGACTTCCTGTTCAATTTAGAGCTTTCTGATTCGTGGAAGGACCAGAAAGAGGAGTGGTTTTTGACGTAAGGTGTTTATCAACAGTCGAGGTCAGAGAATGAAACTTGTTTAACATACAGAAAAGATTATTGCAGAAGCAGCAGACTTTTTGGAGTCTACTCTTAGTAATCTTCTGAAAAAGTTTAAACATGACATTTCTTCTTCAGTAAACATTTTAGTTGACCGAAGACCAACCTTTCACATACTTACGACAGCTTGCTCATTTCAGACAGAAAAATCAAGAAAGGCATATTCAGGTGATTTCTGCTTTGAATGAGGAACAAAAATCATTACTTACTGTTTATGTAAAATAAAAATTAGTAGTTCTTTTCAACCTGTAAAGCATTGAGTGAACTAACACAATTTGATTATCAAAACATTTGTAAGACAGTAATGATTATAAAGAATTGTCTTTTCTGCTTGATTAATTCAAGAAAGAAAGTTCATCAGATGGCCCAGACTTATTCAGATCAATGAAAATAACAGTCTCTGTCCATCTGGTAGATTTGAGGTCTTCTGGTTCACTACACAGGGATGAAGATGTTCACATCCTGGACAGAGAGGAACGATGGTTTGAGAGAGGAGTAAAGGAGGCCATCTTTGTGAAAAGAAACCGTCCATCATTAAACAGGGGTGGAGGCCTCCGGGTTCAACTGTCCCCCTCTTACAATGCTGTGATTGCTAGTATCACTCAGCCCTCTGTGAACAGTAAACAGCCATCAGGTGCTAATGATCCATTGTTAGGCTGATGGTCCTTCTTGAGCATGTGAGCAGCTGGTTCTGGTTGTCAGCAGCAAAACTGGTTGATCCACTCTGAGAAGGTGCTATTTAAGAGACTGAGCTGAAAACAGCACCTCAGACTGAGGAAGTCTCTTGGATGAACAACGAAACATTTCTACTTTTTTTTGTTTGTTTTGTTTTGCTTTGTTTTGTTGTTGTTGTTGTTTTTTGAATGTCCAGAGGACCAGACTTAACTTTTTTAGAATTAGCTAAAATAAACAGAATGACACCTAAATTATTAAAAAGGCTAACTAAAAAAACAAAAAGTGGCAAAATAAGACAAAAAACTGAAGAATTGAAAACATCAGTTTTTCTCTGGGGAAAACAAATATTAAGTTTAAATTCAGAATTCATAGTTCCATCTTCTGCATGAGCTCAATGTTTTGACAGAAACAACTAGTTTAGCACAAAGACCAAACAGTCTAGTGAGTTTTATACATACAGGGTTGTAGCTAAGAACAATTCACAAAACAGACTAAGATCTTTTGTTTGGTATAATTTAATAAGTTTTACTGTCTCACTTTCTGTTTGGTCTTAATTTCATGTAAAGACCGTTGGGTGTAATGAGAACACCTTCCCTTCCACAGCAGTCCACCAGGTAGGACCATCAGCCCTGTGGCTGCACGCAGGACGTTAATCAGTCTTTACTTTGGACTCAGCAAACTTAATTCAAGTAACATTTTTAAAGTTTAGCTCTGTTTATTTTTAGCTTACCAATAAAATGGGTCCCTTCTTTAAAAATATTACAGTTTCTCGAGAGAGACAAATCAAAGAGAAACACATCATGAATTATGACTGGAACCTTTGTAGATTGTTCTACCTGGATTATTGAGCATGCATCAGGATACATCATGAGTTAATTAACGCTCAACATGCCACAGGCTTCCATCAGAAATGGACATTTACGGCAGGAGAAACAAATCAGATTAGTTAAAATGATCTGTTGCACAATCAACAGGACTCTAGAGGAGGACACTGGAAGAATATGGTTTTAAGTTCAAACTCAAAGTTTGATGATTTTAACTTGCACACACACAAAACATAAGTTCTGTTTGACGTATTCTTGGTTTGTTATATACACATCACCCCCGATCGCTGAGCTATTACAACATTAAAGACCAAACGTGTTGAACTATGAGCTCACAGAGTGTTAGCATGATAAAGGCTAAGCACATCCAACCTGTCAGACACAGATGGAGGGATCCTTCGGTTCTGTGGGGCGTTACCTTGCAGGTACCCAGGACTCCAGGCATGCTGTTGCAGTCTCTCAGGGTGAACTTGAGCTCAATGTAGATCCTCCTGGCTCCTTCTCGAGGTATCCAGCTGGTCCTCAGCCAGTTGTTCTGGCTGGGGCTCATCACATTACAGACCTGTCCAGGAGATTATCATCACTACCATCAGCAACGTTAATAATATAAACAGTGTCTCCAGCTGCTACATGCAGCATCTTCAGCTTGCATGAACTCTGAACCTCTATAAAATGTATTTGTCCCTTTTCCAAATGTTTAGCTCCAACTCAACACCATTAAACATCATTCCAATCCACTGTAGCATCCAGTGACAAGAAGTAAAGTGAATACAACTGTGGTCATGTTGTTATGAAGCAATGTTTTACTTTGATTTAACTTTAAAAACTTATAGTCTTTTCACTGTGATGGACTTGCTACCTGTCCAGGGTCAGGGTGCCTGGGTTCCCCCCCCCCAGTGATTGCTGGACATGGGCACCGGTGACCCCGTGACCCAAAATGGAAGAAGCGGGTAAAGATAATGAATGTATGGATGGATGAATGGATGGATGGATGGATGGATGGATAGTCTTTTCACACAATCAAATATGAAGTTTGCAGAACAAAATGTAATAATTTTGAAATAAAACATTAGCCTGGTCATTCATGAAGTGATCATTTATATTTTGACAACTATAGATAACTGTTTAACCAAAGTCAAACAGTTATCTATAGTTGGTATCAGGTGTGGTCCTAGCCTGTTTGGTGCCCTGGGTGAACAACCCCATGGATTGGACCTGTTCTGGTCCATCTCCCATGTGTGTAATTGGAACTCCCCCAACATGAGTCAAAACAACTAAAGGCTCGCACAGACTCGGGTGGACCTCAGTCCGCATGGAAACTATGTGCACTGTCCGTAGAGGGTTGACTTCATACTCAGCGTCCACCCTGATTGGCTGCAGACCAGCTCCCCAGGCAAGGGGCGTTTAACTTCGGGACAAATTGAGGCCCTACACGATGGGGGCAAACATAGATTTTTTTTTGTATTTTAATTAGAGGGAAAGATCTGCATTGACACAAACGGATTTTGTGTTTACATGCATCCGCAGGAATCCCCCCCCCCACCCAATCGGCTGTAGTTAACATGCCGGGTCATTAGTTGGCGCTGTGAATTTTGTACATTCATCTAATGTGCATGCGTGCTGCATCTGACCGCTCCCTGTGAAGACTTTCCTCTGGGCTAAAAGCCCAGCTAACATAATTTAACAAGTTAAAGCTGGATTTTGGATAAGAGTCGACAGATGTGCCACCAAGCGGGACTCTTTTGTCTAACAGCTCCACACCAGATGCTGAGTGAACCAGAACTGAGTCCACGAGGATGATGACGGACTTTCTACTTCGTGATAATTGGTAGTCGATTTACTGCAGGTAAATCATCGTTCCTAATAATGTTAGCAAGTGTTTACTTCGATCACAACAATCAACTGAGTTTTAGTTTTATTTTTCCTGCGAGGAGAAGCTGTCCTCCCACCAGGCGGACCGTTTCCGAACGAGCCTCGGCCCAGGTGCAGTGTAGGAGGACGTCCACGAGTGAGATGTTGGATGAACTATTTAAAATTCCTCTCAGTTCTTTTTTCCAATACATTCAATGTTTTAAGCTGCATTAAGCAAAGGAGTGACAGCCTGAACGAGCCAGATAAACATGTCGCCAGTATCCAGGATGAAAACAGAGTCCAATTCATTCATGTATTTTACAGTCCAGTTAACTTGATTTTAATAGTGTGTTCAGTTGTGACATACAGTTTGTGGTGTTGAATCAATAAATAAAAACTAAACCTGATGTCTTAATTTTCAATTTTAATAACACGCAACATTGTTAAATTCACATAACTTGAATTACATAATGTCCAGATAGCTTCATTATATATCTCCTGCACTAATATAAATACTGTTTGTTATTGTTAAACTGTTATTATTTAGTACATTTATTATGTTATAGTCCAGCGCGACGTGTGAAATATACGTCTGCCTCGTTCAATAAACAGCGATATTAGAACTGGATCCGACGGGCGTCTCTTCCCAACACAGACGTCGGTCACAGCAGCTACACTCCGGTGTAGATTAACTACAAGACTCAAAATAAATTCCATCATTCGTAGCTCAGAAAGCAGTATGATATACTCCGCCTCCATTGTTGTTGATAGAAACATGCCGTCGGTTCGTGCGTGCGTGTGCGCATGTGGTTTAACACAAAACCTCAGCGGGAGACGTTTACATTATCAGTGGGCGGTCTCCCGAAAATCTCCACTTTGAGAAGTGGGTTGAGAAACCTCCGGAGTCAAAGAGGGGGACTAGGAGTGTTGTGAGCAGCAGAACCGCAGAGAGAAAGGTGCAGTTTCACTCAAATACGTGTCGTGTAAACCAAGTATGCTCGAGTATGTGCAAGCCTTTAAACTAATTCACCTTCCTTGGTGCGCAGATTCGTTTTTATATCATTATTTTTCAGCAATTTCACACAAATAAGCTGTGAACTATTATATGCAATATTATGGCTAAAATATGTTTTGTTTGGGAGCAATCAATGGTGAGATTCACTTAGTGAACTAACTGGCATGATGCTAACGATAAGATCGCTCTGCCCACTAGGAAATGTAACCCAGGGTGAACTAACCTCAGACAAACAAACAAGATGGCTGCAACGGTGGAGGTAGTGAAGCTCACAGTGTTTAGTGAGGCATTTCTGCCTCATCAGCCAGGGAGAGAACCCCCACCACCACCACCACCAACAACACCACCTTCACAACCTGTGTCAGACCTCAGCAGAAGCTACACGCCCTGCACCTGGTGGAGGAAGCCCAGTCCTCGCAAGTGGGTGATAGGAGACAGATATGCAGGGTAGACAGACTATATGAAATAATGCATTTGATTTATTGAGGGGGAGGCCAAGGTGGGGTTGGGCGATCATGCTGCTCTTGATGAAATGCCGCCCTGGGAAGCTGTCTAGTTCACCCCTATCAGAAACCACCACTGATACCTTATTATCCATGACATCAGTCACAGAGCACGAAGTGTGGAGAAAAAGACAAGCGTCTTGATTCAGGCTAAAGATGAACCAAACAGGGACCGTTTTATTATTATTTGATTTTTAGAGCTATAAAACCACTCTCAGAACTGATACACATGTATGAAAGAATGCTACATCAGTAATTTTAAAACCTCTACTCATTAGCATGAACTTTTTAATGTAATTGTTGCTGTTTTGTCAATCGAATATTGTCCGTGTTCTACTGTGAATGTATGTGTGCTGAACGTAGGCAGGTACACGCCACAGGTGCAGAGGCTGTAAAATCTTTCAGTTGGGAGTCAAGTTCAGGTTCAATGGGCTTTTTTGTCATTCACATCACATGTGGTGCATGAGGTGGAAAGAAACTGTGTAGTCAAGGTTCCAGTTACACCCAAAAATAGCAAAAATAAAGTGTATTAAAAAACAGTATATAAGGATCTAAGATATACACTAAACAAACACTAAAGGTTCTAAGACATATGCTAAACACTAATAATGTAAAATAATATGGTATATTAAACAGCAGCCCGAACATGAGTATGTAGTGAGATGATGGGTATGAATAAAAACAGCAGCATGGATAATCAGCAGCACAGAAAAGTCACATATCTCCAATTAAAGCGGCATTACAGTGATGTTTTTTCTTACAATGATTATCCTGGTTAGGGATTCATGAGTCTAACAGCTTCAGGGTAGAAGCTGTTCCTCAGTCTAGTGGCTCTACATTTAATGCTCTGTAACCTTCTGCCTGATGGGAGTGGGACAAAATGTGTGTGTGCTGGATGAGTGGGGTCCTTCATGATGCAGGTGGCCCTCTTCCTGCATCTGGAGGTGTAGATGTCTGTGATGGTGGGGAGACTGACTCCAACATCTTCTGTGCAGCCTTCACCACTCTCTGCAAAGCTTTTCTTTCTGCAGCTGTGCAGCCTCCATGCCACACGTTGATGCTGGAGCACAGGATGCTCTCCACTGCACACCTGTAGAAGGAGGTGAGGACTGAGCTTCCAGACCAGCTCGTCTCAGCCGCCTGAGGAAGTAGAGTCTCTGATGAGCTTTCTTCATCAGGCTGGTGGTGTTGTTGCTCCAGCTGAGGTTGTTGTTCAGGTGCACACCCAAGTACTTGTAGCTGGAGACCACTTCCACTGCAGATCCTCCCATGTTTATGGATTGGGAGTAGGTGTGTTTGTTCCTTCTGAAATCCACAATCATCTCCTTCATCTTCTTCAAATTGATATGAAGGTTGTTCTTCCTGAACCAGCTCTCCAGGTGTTCCACCTCCTGCCTGTAGCTGGACTCATCATTGTTTGTGATGCATCCAAGCACCGCTTTATTGTCTGCAAACTTTACAATGTGACAGCCTGGATGGGTACTGTACGTGTGCAGTCATATGTGAGCAGAGTGAACAGGAGGGGGCTCAACACACAGCCCTGAGGGGAGCCAGTGCTGAGGGTTATGGTGGAGGAGGAGAAGTTGTGGATCCTCACAGACTGTGACCTGTTGTTTAAGAAATCCAGGACCCAGTTGCATAGGGAGGGGCTTAGTCCTAGTGTGATTAGTTTGTCCATCAGGTTCTGGGGAATCATGGTGTTGAAGGCCGATGTGAAGTCCACAAAGAGTATATGGACGCAGGAGTCCTTCTGCTCCAGGTGTGTGAGAGCAGTGTGGACCACAGAAGAGATGGAGTCCTCTGTTGATCAATTTTTGCAGTATTGATCAACTGGTGTGGGTCCTCGCTGATGTTGATGGTAGCTTTGATGTGGGTCATGACCAGTCTTTCAAAATATTTAGTGACTATCGGGGTGAGGGCTACTGGCCAGTAGTCATTCAGACCAGTCACTGCAGAGCTCTTAGGACCTGGGATGAGAGTGGTGGTCTTCAGGCAGGTGGGATCAGTTGCCAGGGTGAGGGAGGAGTTAACGATATTGGCCAATAGCTCGTAGAGCTGATCTGCACAGACTCTCAGCATCCTCCCCAGGATGTTGTCTAGACCATTGGTTTGATGACGATTAATCCTCCTGAAGGTACGCTTTACTTCAACTGAGGTCACAATGAGGAACTCCTCTTCCGATGGTGAGGTGAGTCTGGTGCTGGGTGGTCTTTTTGAGTCTTCAAAGTGAGCCTGTTAGGAGCATCAGGATGGATTTCAAGTGCATTGTGCACCTCTGCTTTTATAGTCTGTGATACAGTTAATGCCCTTCCACATGTTCTGTGCGTCCTGTGAGGAAAAATGTCCCTGGATCTTCTGTGCGTATGTGGTGCTGGCCCTCTTAATACCAGCAGCTAGCTCTTTCCTTGTCCTCCCCAGTTCCTGTGCCTCACCAGACCTGAAGACAGTATCCCTGGCTTCCAGCAGAATATGGACCTCTGCTTTCAGCCAGGGTTTCTGGTTTGGGTAGCACAGTCTTGGTGGTGGTGACGTCACCAGCACAGTTGCTAATTTATCAGACAGCAAATGTGTAATCCTACAGATCCAGTTCTCCCTCATTTACAGCAGCCTCCCTGAAGATCTTCCAGTCTGTGCGTGCAAAACAGTCCTGAAGTACAGAGTCGCTGTCAGTGGGCCACATGGTGATGGTCCTCTGTGTGTGTATGGAACATCTCAGTGGGGGGAAGTAGACAGGGGCCATAAAGATGGAGATGTGGTCCGAGAGGCCGAGGTGGGGGCAGCGTACGGCTTTATATGCGTCTCAAATGTTGGTGTGTTCAAGAAAATTATTTAATAAACATGAAGGTTATGAGGTGGTCCCTGAAACTTTTTGTCCCCTGTAAGGGGTCCCTGAACTCAAAAAGTTTGTGAACCCCTGTTCTAGTTACCATTAACTGTTAAATAATATATATGGGAAAAATATGTTTTTATAAGAAAATATTTAACACATTATACTTTATTTTTTCTTGGTTTTAATGTGAACATTCTAGCAGCAAATGTTTCAGTGTTTTTGTATATATACAAAAAAACATGTATTGGCTTAAAAAACATCCAGAGTAGTGCAGACATGGCCATGAACTCAAAGAGATTCAGAACACGTTTTGAATTTATTCATCTGCAATGTCTTTTAAACAAACCTTAATTAAGGTTTTAGAAAGCAACATATCAGATTACAGCAAAGCATTTCACTGTATCAGTGCCAACATATTAAATCCAAAACACACAGAGCATTACACACCTGGTATGTGTGGATAGGGCTGAAGTACTCATCCATCTCATTAATGGCGTCCCACTGCACAAAGAGACAAGACAGAACAGGAAACAGTTCCTGGTTATTCAGGCTTTTCTCAGCTCCACGTGCAGCAAATCATACATCTGAGATGTGAACCCCCACATGCTCACACGCGCCTCTCCACCCCACCAGAAAGGGTGATCGTTAACTGAGACCTCCAGTAAAACACGATAGCTCTTTCCATCACAACAGTTACAGCAGGGAGCACAACGCACAGCACAGGGCGGAATAATTACAAATACGATAAACATGGTAGCAGCAGTTTCCCTGGAGAAAGGATGTTTGTTGACAATGTTGGGTAGAAAAGAGTCAAAGTCAGTGTCACAATGTCCCACATACTTCCTGTTCAAAGCCAGAGCATCAGCCGGCAGCGTGTCTGTGGAGACGGTTTGTTGCTGTGAGTGTAAACTACAGAAGACTGAGAGCAGGATGACACAGAAAGAAGTGCAAACATCACTTTCTACTTGGCAAGAAATTAATCCCTAATCCAAGGCTGTCCAACATTTTAGGATACATTTAGGGGACTCAAGCCCCTGTAAATTTTAATTCAGCACTCTTGAAAAATAAAGAACCTTTTGTCATGATTTGTTGAGAATACAAAACATTTTTGCTACAAGCAGTGTTTTGCCTTTGTTGATTTGTTATCATGGCGTCTTGGGGCCGCACAGGAAAAAAAAACTGCTTCTAAACGGCTGAAACTCGTGAAAATAATTTGACATTAATGTGTTGTTGTTGTCAGATTGTCATTAATGCAGAGCAGCAGTCCATCACATAACATTTAACAATTACAAAGAATAAATCAGCATTAACGATGTTTCAAACATTTCACAACTGAATAAACAACCTAATGAATGTTATTTGTTTCAAAGAATGTAAACACTGAGTGTTGGGTCATTTGTTGATTTAAGAAAGGCGTTTGACGCAGTAGATCATGATATATATAATATATCAAATTTAAGAAGGATAAGTCGTATGCAGAAGAATACACTTCCTTCATGGAGGATATTTTCAAGAAGGGTCATGCAGAAAAGGTTCGACTTCAGGAGCTTTGCAGAGAGGATGGGCGGGTCTGGTACATTCTACATCATAAGCGAAAGCACAAACTGAGGGTGGTGTTTGACTGTACATCCTCATTTCAAGGAACATCTTTGAACAAGGAGCTCCTCCACAGTCCTGATTTAACAAATACACTTATTCAGGTACTGTTAAGGTTCCGCCAAGAACCGGTCATAGTTATGGCAGACATGGAGGCAATGTTTTATCAAGTGTATGGGGATGAAGAGGGCAGAAACTTTCTGAGGTTCCTGTGGTGGCCAGAGGGCAATATTAGCAGACCAACTGAGAGCTATAGGATGAAAGTTCACCTTTTTGGTGCTGTATCATCCCCAAGCATTGCTAATTTTGTTCTGCATCAAACTGCTCCTGACAACCAGAAACTTTACTCCGATGAGGTTCTCAAAACCATTAAAACTAACTTTTATATGGATGATTCCTCCGATCAGTGGCAACAGTGGATCAAGCAATAAAACTTGTCATAGATCTCAGCGAAATCTGCAGTCAGGGAGGTTTCACATTAACAAAATGGGTCAGCAACAGTCATGAAGTTCTGGCAAGCGTTCCTGAACATCACAGAGCAGGAGCATTTAAAGAACTGGAGCTGGATAAATAAATTTGAAAGAACAAATAACAGTTGGGTCTGCACTTGGACTCCACTGGGATACTCTCAGTGATACCTTCAGATTTAAAGTAATCATCAGGAGTCGGCCAGCTACCTGAAGAGGTATACTCTCCATAGTGAGTTCAGTGTATGACCCATTAGGTTTTCTGTCTCCTTTCATCCTGAAAGTGAAACAGTTACTCTGCAAATATAAGTATGGATGGGATCATATCATCCAGAGGAACTTGCAAGGCCTTGGCAAAGATGGATCAAGGAGTTAAATCTTCTAAACGATTTTCAAGTTATAAGATGCATAAAGCCTGAAAACTTTGATCCAGTGGATACTGCTGAAATACATCACTTCTGTGATGCAAGTGAGTCAGGTTATGGTACAGTAAGCTACCTCAGATGATCAAATTGTTGAGGTCAAATTCATATCTGTTTCATATTTGGAAAAGCCAGAGTTGCACCTCTAAAGCAGATTCCCAGACTGGAACTCACAGCAGCAGCACTGGCTGTAAAAGTGGATCGGATGCCAAAGAAGGAGCTGCATTTACCACTTGCAGATTCAACTTTCTGGACCAATAGTACCTCTGTGTTGAATTTATATATATATATATATATATATATATATATTCGCAATCAAACTAAAAGATTTCACACATTTGTATCCAACAGGGTTGCAGTAATCCATGACCTCTCCCAGACCAACCAGTGGAGATATATAAGCTCAAAGAACAACCCAGCCGACGACGCATCACGAGGGCTGTATGTGGAGTCTTTCCTAAGATCAAGATGACTGGCAGGTCCAGAATATCTCAGCAGAGAAAAAGGAAGATGGCCGAAAAACAGAAAATCTGGAGGAAATACAAGCAAATGACCCTGAGGTGAGAAAAGAGATCATGGTTAACAGTGTAATATTGGAAAATCAGCATCCAATATGCAGGCTAATCAAGTGTCACTCATCATGGAACCGACTTCAGAAGTCAGAAGACCCGGATATTAAAAGTGAAAAAACAACTCCTGCTGCTAAGTCAACAGAGAAAAGGTCGAACCCACCTGTCTTCAGAAGTGAGGAAAGATAAACAGGGAACCCAGGACATGTCGGTGGAGGATGTGCAGGAAGCAGAGAAGGCTATCATTTGTTTTGAACTAAAACGCTACTTTCACTGTGAATTTACTTACCTGGAACAAGGAAAATCTCTCAGTTCAAAACCAAAATAGTCCATGATCAATAATCCAGGTAAACATTCAACAATTTTCAGTCAGGTCATCTGGACAGTTTCCTTTTTTTGCTGAAACGTTTCACCAGTTTGACATGAATGTCGACGAGGAAGAGGGCCGGCAACAGAGGAGGGGGCGTGCCAAAGACACCATCTTAGCACCAACATAACTAGTTTGTTCCACTTTGGGGTAAGCTGTTTGAGGGAAGAATCAGTTTTGTGTTGTGTTTCCTTGACTGATGAAGCCTTCTGGATGGAAGGTGAAATGTTTCAGATGACTGGACTGAAAATTGTTAAATACTTCTAGTCAAAAAGAGCCTCACATCTATCCTGAAAGAACAAACACTGGACGATGAAACCCCATCAACAGCACTGTGTGAAGTAGAAACCATCCTAAATGACAGGCCAATAACTTCAGTGTCAAATGACCCAAATGATTTAGAACCACTAACTCCAAATCATTTACTCCAACTGAAGGCAAAAACAATGATACCACCAGGAGTCTTTGGAAAAAAGGATCAATATTGGAAGAAGATGGAGACAACCTCAGTATCTTGCAGATCTTTTCTGGAGACGATGGACAAAGGAGTTCCTCCCACTCATGCAAGAACGAAGCAAGTGGAACAGAAAAAAAAGAACTTCAGCCCTGGGGATCTGGTTGTTATTGTGGACAACTCGGCACCGAGAAGCGCATGGACAATGGGATGAAGACTTTTCCGGATGCCAAGGGATTTGTTAGAAGCGTTCTGGTTAAAACCAAAGACGATGTGATCCAACGACCAATAGATAAGCTCCGTCTCTTAATGGAGGCAGCAGCATGAGTGAAGAGACTTTCTAAACTTTACTATGGACTGCTTTAAAATATTAGAAACTTTGATCAACTTTGGATAACTTTGATGGACAAAAAAAATCTTAATGAACTTTCATTTTAAAGAAAAAGGAAAATGTATATAATAAAATCTCTTTTTGTAATGTTTTGTTTGATGATCGGCTCCTTTTGACTATTTTTGTAATTGTCTCCTTGCTAAGGTTAACAATTAGGGGTCGGGATGTTGGAGCCCATTAAGTATTGAATGAATTAATTATTTGCTAAATGATGAATATTGATCTAAAACTATGTTAAATATCACAGATTGCAGAAGAACTATTATGTTTCTTCTAATTTTATTGTTTATGGCTCCATCCAGTGGGGTCAGCCGGGGCAGTGATTAAAAGGGGAATTCAGCTGCTGCGGGGCTGATTGTTGTTTCTGCAGTGAAGGAGAGAGGAGTGAAACAGTTTTCTTTACCACAAATTGTTTATTTTTGAGATTTGTAAGAAGTTAGCTCAGAGAATATTTTGTTAAATTCAACAAGGAAATGAAATGCCGAACTTTTGAAACAAGAAATCTCTCCGCGAGTGCTTATATATTGTGTTGTGCGTCGAGAACCTCCTCCACGAGGCTAATCTGGTTCAAACTTTTTGGAGCTTATGATGATACAAGAATAGCAGCCACAGGGGTTGATATCCAAAGAGTTGGTGACATCAGATTTCTTGGGGTCACAGTGGATGAGAGGTTTGGTTTATAGCGCACATTAAATAGATTTATTGGCATCGCAGTACTGAAAGAGGCCAAGCAGGTCTTAGATCAGACATCATATCTAGTCCCACCTTATTTAAGCTACTGCACAGAAACCAGAAATCTCTAATAATTATACAACATTATATTCTCTTTTTATTCTGGAAAAAACACAACTTGTATAATTCCTAATGCAGCTTACAGGGATCAGACAAACTCAGTTCTTACAGATAAAAACACTTAAATTTACAGATCTGGTAAAGTTCCAAACACCACACGTTGTGTTCAGAGCCAAACAGCATCAGTTACCTGCAAAGGTTCAAAGTATGTTTTTTTTGTGGAAGGAAGGTTCGACTTCAGGGTTCTTTGTCCACTGGAAGTTGTTAATGTGTGCACTGTGAGGAAGAGTTAGTCTTTCTGTGTGTGGAGGTGAAGCAGCGTTCAACCATCCATCCATCCATTATCTTTACCTGCTTCTTCCATTTTGGGTCACGGGGGTCGCTGGTGCCCATGTCCAGCAATCACTGTGCGAGGGGCAGGGTACACCCTGGACAGGTCTCCA